ACTACTACTACTACTACTACTACTACTACTATAGAAGTGACTTATCTATGGGCTTAATGTATCTTCCTGAACAAAGCACTTCTGCCAGCTAAAAATACCATTTCTCGGGGTTGGGGCCAGGAGCGACCGCCCGCCCCTCACAGTGACGGCGGCACGAAGCAGCCGCCGGGATCGCTGCGGGGACCGCGCGCCTCCCTGCCGCGAGCGATGGGCTGTAAGTGGGAAGCTGTTGCCGATTCCCGTCTCTCCTCGCCTCCTTGGCAGTGTCTATAGGGATTAGAGGGACCAGCCCCGTTCACGCAGCCCCTCGCGGTGTCCTGAGCTGAGCGGGAAAGGACGGTGATAAAAGCCTGGTTAAAAATAGGCAAATGCAGAGGCTGGAGCGAGACGGGGGTAACGGGCGTCTCTTCCTCTTTGGCAGAAAGGGAGTATCCCTGGGGAAACAAGTTTCAGCCGAACCGTACAAATCTGTGGCAGGTAAGATCCTAAAAATCATCCTGTCGACGCTGAGCTCTTCCCATGGCGTTTAACGCGCCCGCAGAGTGCGCGGGGCTGCCTGCGCAGGCTGCGCGGGCCGGGGAGGCGATGCAGGCTTACCCGCAGGGTGCCCAAGTTCAGCTCCGGGGAGGTTATCCGAAATAGCCGTAGAGGGAGCAGAGTCAGCCCAGCTTCCCTGGGAAACCAGGATTTCAGCGCTTCCAAAAACTCATACGTAACCAAAAATTCATACAGGAATTTGTTTGAAAAGGGGGGCGTCTTGGGAGAACTTCAGCTGGCTGGACTCCTCTCTTGGCCAGAAACGCTGCGTAGAGTTCGCGTGCGATGGCGTTGTTTCTGTTATTTGGGCGTAAGGCAGTCCTGGGCAGAGCAGGACCTCGTGGCGTCTCGGCGGGGGGTCTCTGCTCGGCGTGATCTTTCTTCCCACAGGGCGACTTCCCGAGGGTCGACACAGCTGAAGACGGTTATCACGGCGTCTCGCCGGTGGCAGCGTTCCCTCCTCAGAACAACTACGGTACGGAGCAGGCATCCCCACCCTGGCTTCGGGGATGGCGTCTGCGTCCTAATATCCATTCAACGCTAATTATGAAATCCCGTAACTGTAGCAAGGTTGCAGATAGGACGTAGGGTCGCCTCAGCATCTCGATAGAACAACCGAGCCCAGGAAAAGCGCTGGTGGTGGGTACCGACGTTGGCTGAGGGCACCCGGGGCGCTTCAAGGCACCAAACCGTCCCCGAGCAGTCGGTTATTTTGCACTTCCATGTGATTTACCTGAAAATCCCAAGCGCGTTGTTTTGAGGGCAGTGGATGCCATGGCCTCATGCAGGCGGGACACAGTGAGGCCCGTTTAAATGGGAGATTTGGTGAAGGCTGAGCTGTAAACGGGCTGGTTTGCAATAGCGAGCTTCTGGTTCCCAGTCTCACCATTAAACCACACTCTTACAGTGATGCTTTGAAAGTTGTGCCCCCCTCCCGTACACCAAAGCGCTTTTGCAGCCCTGGCAAATGTGCTCTCGTCATCCTGACGCAAAACCGCCTGCGTCTCAGGGCTCTACGACCTGCTGGGAAACACCTGGGAGTGGACGGCGTCGGAGTACCTGCCGCCGGGGCCCCGGCCGCGCGCTCGGAACATGCGGGTCCTGCGAGGCGCCTCGTGGATCGACACCGCGGACGGGTCTGCGAATCACAGAGCTCGCGTCGCTACCAGGTAGGTCTGGCAACGCCCAGGCGCCGTTCGCAGCGATTTCTTCTGGCTGGGTTTTTTTGGGAGGGGGGTTTAGTTTGAAAGACGTTTGTTTGTTCCTACGCAATTTCTCTGAGAAGCCGTTAGGAAAACATACCACAAATACTGCTAAAAATTTTCCTGCTATAAATATGTTCCTAATTGCTTCTCACATCATGCATGTTTTCCATCAAGTATTTAGAATTAAATGCTTTTCTTGAAGTTATTCGAGGGAAGTGGAAGATGTTTCTAGTCTGTTATAGAGGGGCACGTTAAAGGATGTAAGCGTTAACTAGGCAGGATCCCTAACTTTGGGTCTCTCTTCCCCCGTGAGAATGGGGAACACGCCAGACTCGGCCTCCGACAACCTCAGCTTCCGCTGCGCTGCCGACGTCCCGCCTGTCGTGGCCGAGAAAAGCCGGACCAAACCTGAGCTCTGAAGAGGTCGCTCGGGAAGACCTGGAGGCATTTTCTCCTGTGGAGACGAACAGTAACCCCCAGCAGTCGCTTTCATCGAGACAGTTTTAAAAATTAAACAGGAATACTTTCAGCTGAAACGCCTTTCCGCACTGGGACGCCTGGGCGCGAGCCGCGATTGGGAATGGCAGGCAGGGCGTTTTGTCTTTAGCCTCCTCTTGGTGCGGTAGCTATTGCAGCTCTCCTTTCGGTGTCTGGTTTAGATAAGCGGCGCAGCCCCCCGTGACGGCCGGCATGGGGCTGCCCTCACGGGCGGCTGCGGGGAGGGCGATGGGGGCACGTCCCTGGAAGGGGAACCGTCCATCCGTCCCCGTCTCCTTGGGAAATCCCAGCTTCGTACCAGCCTCCAAGCCTTCCCAGAAGTGAAACAAGGTGCTTTTATCGGCCCTTAAACAGCGGCAAAACCACGCGTATGCTCGTTTCGAAGCGCATGGATGACACAAACCAGTGACCCCCCTCTCCCAGGTGTCACAGCCGGCACAAGGGCTGCAAACTGGCTGCGCGCAAGCTCTGCCACCAAAGCCCCGAGCACACGGGTGGGTGAGGACGCCCCTCCGGGCGCTGCTCATCCCTCCTCCACCTGCACCTGCCCCAAAAGGGTCCTGCCGCGGGGCCGAGCTGAGCCCTCCGCAAGCAGCGCTGCTGCTCCGAGCGCATCTGGTTACGGCTCTGTTAGAGGCAGCTTCTCCAAATCCATCCCTGACAGCGGGACGCCCCCGGGGCAAATCGCAGCCGTCTGCTGGGTTTGCGTTTGCGCCTGACCCGAGGCCAGCCGCAGCTCTTAAGAAAAAGCGACAGAAATCACTGGTTGGTTTTCAAAGATTTTACTTGCCTTAGCTCTGAGCAAACTCATTGGCTTACGCAGCGGCGATCAAAACAGCCCTTCCTCGGCTGCCAGGGTCAGCAAAATGGCCTTGCAGGTGTTCTCGAAGAGGGCGGCTCTGTTCTGCGCCTCCCCCTTCTTCACCCAGTGCCGGTAGGTCCTGAAGGCGCAGGCGTCGATCAGCTTGCGGACGGGCTTCAGGGCGTACGGGTCGCGCACCACCAGCTCCCTGGTGACCGACTTGACCAGCCGGTACTGGTAGTAAATACGGACCGACGCCAGGACGGTCAGGCAGATCACCTGCAGCACAGGGGGAAGGGACTGGAGCGCGTGGCCAGTCCTGCCGCGGGACTGGATCGGCCCCAGCGCATCCCACGTGGCTGCTACCCGTGTGGAGGAGTCGGGAGGGAGCCCGGCTGCTGGCACGGGTATTGAGTCCCGTGTGGGTGGTACAGGCTTTTTCCAAGTGTGCCCTTAACGTCAAAACTGCGGGTCGGTCCTAAATGTGTCACCTAATGCCACTGTGGGTACCTCTGAGCTGCCCGAACGGCTGGCTGGAGGGAAGGGAAAGGATTCCTCTGTTTTACCAACTTCTGCATCATTTGATGCACCCGTGTGATGTCAGGCTCATCAATTTCCCCTTAGAAGTGTTTTTTTTTTTTTAATGATTTGCGGGGGAGGCAGGCTTTTCCCTTATTTAATCCTCTTCTGTGAAAAGCCCCTAGGAAGGACCAGGAAGCAAGCAAACCAGTGCTTGGAGAAGGGCCTCCGCCCAGGCTGCCGCATCCTCCCAAAGCCCGGGTCCATCAGCCTTCTTGAACTCCCAGTTTCTCCCAGCCCAGCTGGGAAACGCATCCGACTGCTCGGCTGCTCCAGCTCCCGGGCTCAGGGCTGGGACACCGAGACACCCCCATATCCAACCTCACCTTGAATTTCCGGAACGGGCTGAAGTGCCGCACCTCCTCCACGTCGTACTGCTGGAAGAAGGGGTGGGCCAGCGCCTCGTCAGCCGTGTACCGCTGCCGCGGGTCCACCACCAGGAACCGGGAGATCTGCACGAGGGCATCAGATTGACCCAGGGTGTCCCAGGTGTCTGCAAACCACCCCCCGCAAAGGTTTCCCCATCCCCAAGCGCCTACCAGGTCCTTGACGGTGTCCGAGCGGTCGTCCCACTCTGGGGAGCCAAACTGGTAGTCCCCATTCATGATCATCCGCAGCATCAGCATCTGCTTGCGGTGCCAGAAGGGAGGCGAGCCGGCCAGCAAGGTGTACATGATCACCCCGGTGCTCCACCTGTGGGCAGCCCAGCGGGACCCTCCAGCCCCCAGCAGCACCCGGGGGGCACCTGGCTGGATCTGCGCCCCGGGGGTGGCTCGGTGCCTGCCCCTGGCCGGGGCACGCTGCACTTTGCCACCCTGGAAAACCAGGAGGACGCTGCCCTGCGTGGTGTGTAACACGGGCGGCTGAGCTCGCTGCTGAGGCTCGTTAGCCCTGATGGGTAATAAGGAGCAGGGGCTGCCCTGCTGCTGGGGAGGGGCTTAGGGTTTTTGAGCTGTGTTGATGTGGAGCTGCTCTCCTGGATGCTGCAGGAGGAAGCTGTGAGTTGGAGCTGTTTGCCTTTCTTGGGTTTTCTGGGTTTTTTAGGGGAGGAAGAGGATGTGGGAGCGTGGGACGTGGTGGCGCCAGCAGGGCTGGATGCTCTGGGGCTGTCTCAGTTCAGGCTGTGGCGTTCACTGTCCTGGTGTGGGGCTTAATGGAGGTATTGGAAGTGAAAAGGGGCTGAAATGCCCTGGTGTGTCTCAAGTGGGTGGTTACAGCTCTGACCACTGCAGACCTGAGCCCAAAGACACCAGAAATGGTGGCAAAGTCCCCACGGGGCTTAGACTGGGCTCTGACGGGCTTTCCTGAGCTGGCTGCTCTCTTGGGGGCTGCCCCAGGCTCATGTCTCGCTATGGGGAGTGTTTAAAAAGCCCTGTGTCTTGGATTCTAGCCCCTGAGGTGATTTTTATGAGCAGAAAGCATTGCTTTCCCCCCTCCCTGACGGGGCAAAGCGGGGAGACAGGCTCGTCCCCAGGCTGCTTCTCTTCCAGCACTGTGCCAGAGCTCCCTGGTCGCCAGGACAGCCCCTCACAGCCCCCGAGGGCATTTTTTGGCGCATCACTTAATTCCTTCCAAACACTCCAGTTGGTTCCTATCTGCACAACTCTTGCTGTGTCTCAAACCACGCGTGTTTTGGGAGCAGCCCGAGGCAAAAAGGCAAGCGTCTCACTCACATATCGACTTCCTTCCCGTAGCCTTGGTGCTCGTCGTCCATGGAGCACTGCAGGATCTCGGGGGCCAGGTAGCCAGGCGTGCCGCAGATCTCTGCAAAGACGGGGCAGAGCATCCCCCTGAGCCGCCCGGGAGGGTCTGAGCCATCCCCACCCACCCCCGAGCAGGCGATGAGGGGGTCTGGATCCCAGCTGGGATCTTCGCAGCAATGGTGCTCGCAGGGAGTAACTGCAACCTGCGTGCATCTCGCTGGTGACTTTTCTTGGTGGATTATGATGGCTACAATGTGAGTGAAGAGAGCGATGGGGATGCCGGTGGCGGGGGATGCCCGTTGTTGGTTATGTGGCTCTTCGCAGGGTAGGAGTGGGGAAAAACCTTAATGTTGGGCAGTAAATGGATGAGGTAATGAGGGTCAGCTGGAGGGGAAAAAAGCGGAAAGAATAGGATGGTTTTCCTCATGGGCAGCAACTTCATCATGGCAAGGAGTGAGGTGTGGAGGCTGTGCCGCAGGCAGAGCCGGGCTCGTGCGTGAGCAGGAGGGCACCCCAAGCCAACAGGCGCTAATTTGCACCCGCAGCAGCAGGACCGGCCCCAAGGAGACAGTGGGGCCAGAGAGACTCCACCGACTCCCCACAAGCACTGCACCAACGGGGTGCCCAGGGGCCAGCCCGGCATTGCCCCCGCCTCGTCGTCCTCCTACCTTTGAGCTTCTCGTTCTCGCGCAGCTGGCAGGAGAAGCCGAAGTCTGTCAGCTTAATGTTCATGTCGTCATCCAGGAGGATGTTCTCCGGCTTCAGGTCCCGGTGGACGATGTTGATGGAGTGGAGGTACTGGATCACTTCCAGCAGCGCACGCATGATCTTCCTGGGGATGGGTGACAGCACCTCTCCTAGCCCAAACGCTCACCGGCACTGCGCTCCCAGGGATGGGGATGGGGACAGGGACCGTGCAGCTCAGCCCCTGTGTCTGAGCGCAGGGCACAGCCCGGGGTGCTGTTTAGCCCATGGGTGCCGTGCTGGCTGCAAGGTCGTCCTTCGAACCCAGGCTCTGCTTTTGCAACATGATTTTCAGCCATTTGCATCTGGCCTTACCTGGTTTCCTTCTCGCTCAAGGTGACTTTCTCAGTGAGGTAGTCGAAGAGCTCCCCTCTCTTCATCCTGTGCACAGGAGGGAAAAAGGAGGCAGGCAGCAGCTGAGCTGCAACGGCAGACCGGCCCCGAGCCCTTGGGGAGGACCGCCCGGGGGTCGCTGCCCCTTAACAGCCCCAGGGCACCCATTGCACAAAAGGACAAGCCAACTTTTTCATAAAAAGGGGTAAAAATGCCTCTGTATTGCTGCAAAACATCAGGCAAGAGGAGGAAAGGCTGTCCCTAGAGAGGGCAGCTTTCGGATGGGACAGGGACGGGGCTCTCCCAGTGCCCCGGCATCAGGAGTCGCGGTGTCACGCGCACCCTGGTCCCACTGGGCATATAAATAACCCGCGGGGAGGCATGACAGCTCCCGCCAAAGGTTACAGGGAAACCTGAGCAGCGCTGAGCCGCTGACGGAGGGGAAACACTGCCGGTGGCAAGGCTGCAATGAGCTGGCTCGCAGCAATCAAGGCTTGTTTCCACCGTAAGCAAGAGCTGGTTGTCCCCCTGCTTTGCCCTGTTTGGGCCATAAAAAGCTGGGGCAAGTGTTGGCTGGTGGCTGTCTGCAGAGTGGGAATGGGCTTGGGGAGATGGTGCTGGGCTGAGGGGCAAGCTGGTACTTACAGGTCAAACACCAAGAAGAAGAAGGTGCTGGATTCATAGCTGTCCTTCAGCTGGACTGCAATAAAACACGGGGGCTGTGAGCACAGTGTATAGCGTGTTCCTGTCCACTAATGGACTAAAAAGTGCTGATCTAATTGCTAACTGAATTAATGAGGAGTTGATCTTCACTAGTGTTTTGGTTTGGAGGCAACCAAATTCATTGTGGGCACTGCTGGCGTGTGCACGGAGGTAGAGCAAACGATGCTCTAAGCAGGTGCCCTGTGTCACGTTAGGACTATCAGAGGTCTGACCCTCCAGGGATTTCACCCCAAAAACCTTTCCTGGGGACACCTCAAAGAATAAATGGGGCAGAAACCCCCCTTGCCCTGATGCTCAGAGCCTGACTTACTGACGTTGGGGTGGCCCGAGACTTTCCGGAGAATGTCAATCTCTTTAGCAGTGGCTTCTCGCAGTTCCTGCACCTCCTTGGGGGATATGTTACCGGCCGTGATGTCGATAATCTTCACGGCATACTCCTGCCGGGTGGTTTTGTGAATGCACCGACGGACGACGCTGCTCACCCCCCTGCCAGGGACAACACAAACAAGATGGGGCTTTCCATTCCTCCCTGCCCAGCCCGACCTCACGGCCGTGCCATCGGCACCTGGGCTGGCTGGTATTCTCATGCGCGAGCGGATCTCGCTCTGTTACCCTGTCTTGGTGGGACAGAGGAGTGTGAGCTGATGGAAAGTGCTGCTTTGTGCTATTTTTAACCCCATGCTGCTATGGGCCCTGTTCATATCAGATTCCCAGGAGACACTGTTCCTATCAGGTACTGGAGTATGTGAAACCATGGCTGACAAAAACAGCTTTACCTGCCCAAAACCTCCTTCGGCTCATATTTTTCATAAAACTCCTTGGACGAGTTCCAGTCCGGTAGGTCTTCTTCCTTGGTCATCTCTGGCTCCTGTCAGGCAGCGCTCTGCGCTCGTCTGCCGGCGGAAAGGGGCTGCAAGGAGAAAAGAGCAAGGATGGGCGCTCGCTGCAGCTGGGGCAGGGAGCCCCGATCCCTTCCAGAGGAGAAAACATTGAGGAGGAAGGAGGAGGAGGAGGATCCTGGACCACAGACCAAAGCGGGTATTTTGCTGGTTGGAAAAGCAAAGCTTTGCCCTCGAGACCCTCTAGAGATCCCACTGAGAACAGGAGAAATCCCACTGGATTCCCCATAGCCTGGCTGGGGCCAAGGCTTTGGGAAGCGCTGCAGCACCCCAAAACCTCGTCCCTTCTGCAGAGCACCCGCACCCAGCTCGCAGGGCATCGTCCTCCAGCTCCTGCCGTGTGCTAAGGGCTACGCCACGCTTCTCCTGGTTCCTCCCACCTGGGAAAGCAATTTAATTAATTTTTTGGGACTCCCAGTAGGACAGCACTGGTGGGGGAGGCAGTGGCGGAGCTGCACCTTAAGCTCGCAAAGGTGCCCAGTAGCAAGGTGGTGCTGGCACAAACAGGCCCAAAGATCCCCAGCAGCAGCAGCCTCCAGAAACATCACCCCACGCTGACGCCACCCAAAGCCCCCTGCGAAGCACTGAAATCTGCCTTGCCTTTTTTCTGCTTTTTTCTCCTGATTAAGATGACAAAGTTGTCCGGGACAGTTTAGCTGAGAACAAGGAGGAAAAAAATAGTGTTTGAAGTGAAGGGAGAAGAGTTAAGGAGGGAAAACAGGTGGCAAGGGTCGGTGAAGCGGCGTGGGGGGCTCGGCGGGCCAGGGTGCGGGCGGGGACCAGGGGCCTGGGGACAGCCAGCGCTGCGGGGTCAGCCGGGGCCGAGCCAGCCTGAGGACAGCGGCTGAGCGAGCTCCCTCGGCCACACGCGTACAGCTGCCAGCAGCCTCCAAAGCTCCTGAAAGGCTTTTGTCCCGTTTCTTTTTTTCCTTTTTTTTTTTTTGTTTTGTTTTTGATGTGCTGCCGTTGCCGGAGGAGGGGTGGTGTGACAGTATTTTGATGGGGAGGGGGAAATAACCAGTAGCCCTGATCCCTAATTTTCACCAGCGTTTCCCTTTAAGGCCTGGGAACTGGATGTCCTCAGCTTGTTCCTGTGCCCGGCATTGCTGAAATCCCGACTGTCCAGGTCCAGCTGCTCTGCAAATGTAGGCAGAGACCAAGCAGCTAGCGTGGAAAGCAGCTCTTAGAAGCTTGGGCAGCAAAATTGTCACCTTGGGGTGACAGCTTGCTGCTGGGGGAGAGAGAGTGGGTGGGCAGGAGAGCTGCGGGTTCCCCTTTGCCCTTCCCGCTGAGGTGGCAGTAACGCTGCCGGGATGCTCCCAGGCAGGTTTGCAGCTCTAAGTGCATTTAAATCTTATTATCAAAGGGTATCTGTCCTGACCTGGTTCTAAGGACTGATGCTGTTTTCGGTGTCTGTCTGCTGCTGGGAGGGACGTCTAACGAGGGCTGGAGCATTTCTAAACAGCCATGAGTTTGATTTAATTTATAAAATTTTAGCTGTTGGAAATATTGTGAGCAATGCCAAACCAACTGAGGGCTGAAATTATAAATTAGAGGCAGGATCAGGGAGTAGGGAAAAGAAAATATCTCTGAGGTGGGGGAGAAGCAACAACTTTGATTTGTTGTTTTTTGTTTGTTGTTTTTTTTTAAAAAGCTGAAAGTCAAAGTCCAGGGGGTTGGTGTCGAGGGAAGGGCTAGAGGCTGGGGAGCACCTGCGGAGCGTTGCCCGGGGTCTCTGTGCCACCTTCTGGGAGGAAAAAGCCCAGGAGTTTGTTTAAAATATCCTTATACTATACAAGCAGCTGGTACGGAGCACTAACAGGATAAGCCGGTTTAATTATCGGAGCTGTACGAGCTCCATGGGAGTGCAAGGGGGGAAAAAAACGGGGTTGGGGAGAGGTTTCTGTCTTGAGGCAGAGATGGAGGAACGCTAACGGGGACGGCGCTGGACGTGGCTGGCCGGCCCGCTGCTGTGAGACAAGGGTTGAAATGTTTGCCTTGGTAAATATTCAATAACATGCAAATATTTATTGATATCAATCGGGAAAGCCCAAGCTGAAGTCAGGTTTCAGGCCAGCACGGGAGTGCCCCCCCCCCTCCCAATACCCGGGGGTTTCCGCACCGAGGGCGAGCAAGGAGGCACCGCAGCCCCGGGGTGCTGAGCAAGAGGGAAGTCAGGCTGAAAATGGTACCGAAAGCAGCTTTCTGGGGTAGCTAAAAACCCACCGGCTTCGATATCCTCCCCGCCCGGAAAGCACCGGCTCCTGAAGCCCGTTTCTTCCACAAGCGGGGTCCCGGCCGGCCGCCGGCCCCCGCCCCCTGCCGGCCC